AATACAGCTCTGATTTTTTATGTCAAATCTAGATGTACAGTCAATCTCAAAGCTCTATCCCATTTTAGATGTGTTTAGTGTGTTTTTCACGGCATTCACGCTGAAAACTAAATGCCGCCGCTCAGTCTTTCTGCCACTCAGTGAGTGTGACCGCAGTCGACGGTGACGTCACACGCATACACACTATTCTCTCACAGCACTCGGGTGTTTACGAGGGCCACCAAACCCACAGCGGTTATTCCTCTGCATTCCTCCAGCTTCAGGAATCTGTCACAGAGACAAAAAACTCTGTCCTGAGACACAACAAACAGACTCATGTCAACACAGATCTCTCGCTTTATGTTCATCAACCTGATTATTATGGATCCAGAGCTGTTATCTTGGCAAAAGGAGGTTGCACACATTCTTTTAGACGATTAATGCATTCTTGGAAAAATCCAACTCATTTAATAGTTTTCTTGCTTTTGATGGACTCAAATATAGGCTCATATTGTTAATTGCAAATGCTTGATAAGTCTGACATCAATGCTAGCTAACACTTGGTGCAGTTCTCTAGCAGTTAAAAGTACCGTTAGACAATATATACTGTAATGTGATTGTGAGCCGGTCCTGTCTAAAGCCCCGTTCACACCGCCAGCGACACGCAGCGACAAAGCGACAAGATCCCATTCATTTCAATGGAACGCTGGCGACATCCGGCGACATGAGCGACAGTGACCGTTGGCGACAGAATGTGGGCGTGTCAAGCGACAAAAGTTGAGAATTTTCAACTTTATGCAAATGAGAAGCGATTTTTCGCGAGCGACAACCAATAGGAAAGAAGACTTTCAGTGGAGCTCACGTCACCGTCTCGAGTGCAGGGCAGGCAAGACAGAAAGAAAGAGTTTGAGAATGATTTCATTGTTTTATACGAGTTGACTGTAACCACATACATGGATAATAAAATGATGCACGGAAAAGAAACTGTCGACAGTCTCAGTGAGTTTAATTCATACATTTAACGTTATAGTTCGAGTGTTGTAATTTTATGATGCACGTTTAGCACTGCTGCAGTTCATTTTACAATTTCCCCTGCATTACGTTGACAATTTTTTTTTTAGAGGTGTATTATCGAATATTGATTTGCTAAGTTGTCGAATTGATAAATCCATGTTATTTTTTGTTTTTTTATTTTTAGCTTTTTATTTTTTTATGTTTATTCTATGTTTTTTTTTTTTTTTGTCGTTATGTTTATTGTGGTTCCCATGAGTGTAAAACAAATTCCCCCCTGGGGCAATAAAGGTTTTCATTCATTCATTTCATTCATTCATTAGGGACAAGAAAATGGATTATTTGTCAAATTCGAATGACGTTTTTATAATTTGTGACAGTATGAGTGAGTTTAATTTGTTCATTCGATCGATCGTTGATCTAGTAAAGCTGTGGAGATATAAAAACACTCTCCCAACAGCATATGGTTTCCTTTTAGCCAGCGACAAAATCGCTGGCGGTGTGAACGGGGTTTAAAACCAAACCCTCCCGAACAGTCATTGTGCGGTAAATGACCCATACCTTGAACAACAGAAGTCAGATAACAGCCAAGACTGGGAACAATTACTGGGAACATCAAGAGCAGCTTATTAGATGAAACCTGCTCCAGGCTCAAGAGAGAGAAAGGGGAAGAAATTGGTTTCTTTATACCTCCATTCCTGCTTTTCCGACCTATTTCTGCCTCAAAACTGTGTGTTTGTTCGCTCCATGTCGTCCTTCTTCATGAAAAACACACTGCTGTATTTTCAAACACACACAATTTGTAATGCATGATATTATTTTTCGTTTTTCTATTGTTATATTGGTCCGAAATCAGTGCGAGAAACATTCTTTGATTATTTTTAATTACACTTTACGGTTTTAATACTTACATTAAAGATTTTTAATCATCTTGGCATCAACGGCTGTGAGGATGATTGATCGATATAACTTATTTATAGAAAATAAAATATCACCATTTAAGCCATTTCTGAGCTAATGCATGAATATCGAGATACATCAAATATGGAAATTAAATCTGATAAATACTAAGCTATGATTGTTTAGCAATATCACCCAGCCTGTACACACCCAAACAAACATATAAATCTGCTTAAGGGTTCAGAGAGCTGTTTTTCTTTTAGAAAATCTTGTTTTCCTCAGCTATATATATCAAGTCTGCTGCTGAAACACACACACATATGGCAGTAATCATGAGTAAGGGAGTGTATGTCTGAATGAATCAGATCAAGCTGTTATTTGGAGACATGTACAAACCAAAACCAACCGAATCCCTGCCGTCCAGTCCAATATTACTCATAATAAAAACAACCCATGACGCGGATGACCGATCACAAAGACAACAGCACACCTGCCAATAACATCCGGCTTGGACCGAGAATCAGAAGAATAGTGAGTGAATTTATTTGAGCTCTCTGAAACGAAACAAGGGATGAAGTGTGTGTGTACATTTTCAGAAGTATAAGTTTAACTGTTGCCCATATTTTAGTAATCTAATAATCATAAATTAGGTATCATTGAAAGATTAAAAACTCAAAAATCATATTGTGAAATCCGTTTTGAATTCGGACATTGCATTAACATGGAAATGGTACTTAAGCCTCTGGTGTAATAATTTGTGTTTTAAGGGGATTTTATGGTACTAAATTATATTAATGGAATAGTTATGAACCATTTACTACCTGTTAGGGTTAGGTTATTGCTGAAGAGAAAAAACACACTGACAGTTATAGTTATAGAAGTTTAAGGTTATTATTATGAAAAAAGCATAAAAATACTACTTAAAAATGTTATATTAGTATTTATATATTAATATTTATTTATTTATATATTAATATACATTTATTTATATATTAATATTTAAATTTGTATTTTTATTACTAATTTGCTTCCCATTCGTTTCCAATGGGCTCATTTTTGACCAAAAAACAGCGGTCATAGCCTTTTCAAATTATGTCCATGAATGTGTGTGTGTGTGTGTGTGTGTGTGTTCAAACCGCAAGTACCAAAACCGAGTTTCAGAACCGTTTCAAGTTTCGCAACCGGAGGGTTAAAGCAGTTTAGCTGGCTCCTCCCCCTAGTGGACGTTGTCATGTTTCATATTATTTCATATGAAAATATAATTTTTTTTATTTTATTATAAAAATTGCTTCTAATTTTGACAAACTCACATTGTTCTGAGACTCAAAGTTTCTTGTTTGGCAACTGTTTTGTGGTTGAAATGATATGATGACAGAAATGTATTAATTTGAACACATGATGAAAATAATTATTAGAATCTCATAGGAAACTTTAATTTTTGTGATATCAATTTCAAATTTGGTCCGACATGTGGCTTTGATTTATAGCAATTTTAGAGTAAAAATATTTTGTAAAATACATATTTTGTATAAAATTCAAAAATGATCAGTACAGTACATTTGCTTTAGGAAAATTAAACTTTAATTAACTTTTTTAATTGTTTTTTTTTAAAAGTGATTTCACTAAATCAATAATCTTTAAGAAGAGACCAACCTTAGGTCTTTATTCCAAAGCATTCACGTATTACATCCATGTACTGTATTCTAACTAAGGGGTTAAACTTATTTCAAAACAAACTTCTTTTTGTGAAATATTTTGCGATTTTGCAATAGTTTGAGCATCATTCTTTCCAATAAATTCACACGGGCTTTGATGTGTTGTTATATAACGCAATAACATTTAAAATCTCGGTGACTCAGTTTTACAGCATAAACACAGACGATTGAGCAACTCTGAACTCCTGAGAAGCTCAAGACCTCCTACAAAGTCAAAACAGAGAGATAAAAGCCGCTCGTCTTTACATTGCTTTGCCTTATATAGAGCAGAATGCTTGGCTGATGGGATGTACTGTTTATATACATACAAACACGGTGTGTGAAGCGGTTTCTGAGTTCTGTTGCTGCAGTTGAGCAGATGAGAGACAGACAGATAATGACGGTTCACCAACACACATACTTCACTCGTCACGTCACACCATTTACTCTGAGAAACCAGCTGTTTCTGAGCCGCTGATTTCTGTCAATACTCCATCATCCACAATCCCTTGTCTCTCTCTAAAAGTCTCTCTCTCAAAGGGCCCTTTCACACCTACCTTGTTTGGTCCGGACTTTCGGACTTTTCAGTTTGGTCCGAATAAAAATTACAGGTGTGCAACCTCCATGTTTTATGATTCTTTTTATATTCTTTAGCTTCAGTGTTTTGTGTTCTACATCAGGGTTTCCCTAAACTTGATGCTAATAAAAGCTAATAATTAAATAAAAAAATATAAAATTGAAAGAAATAAACGTTTGTAAATAAAAACACCTAATAAACTAAATAAATAGCATGTCACGTGACGATTAACAGACGCGAATGTGACGTTTTATTATTGAAATAAAATAAAATCTCAGGGGGTGTTCCAAGTAAATATGTCAAAAGAGTTCGTAATTTATATATATATATATATATATATATATATATACATAATTAATGTTTTATTTGAACACTCGGATTACAGTGTGAAACAGCTGCATGAACACAACAATTAATATTAAGAATAACATACATATAAAGATTAGTAAAAGAAAGAAAGAAAGAAAGAAAGAAAGAAAGAAAGAAAGAAAGAAAGAAAGAAAGAAATTTAAACATTGATTAAGGTAACGTTATACAAGGTGTGTATGTCGTGCAAACTGTAGATGTTCTGGGTGTTTTTGGGTTAAGAGGAGATGAAATTGTAATCAAGTAATGTTTTATCTCGTGTAAGTTTCGGGATTCATTGAGAAATTTTGCAAGATATTGCTTGAGATAAACCAACTAACTTAAAATTATAATTGCGCACGTCGATCGCCGCGGCGTGACGTCACGTGAAGCAGGTTAACGGCGGCTCATGTTAACGGTGTTTAACGGCTCATGTTGCCGGTGTGTGTGTGTGTGTGTGTGTGTGTGAGAGAGAGAGAGACAGACACACTCACATGAGATGTGGCACACGGTTTGATAATCATCACAGCAGTCCCCGCTCCTCCTGCAGTACGTGTCGCAGTAACACACGGTTCTCCTCGCACTCTTCTCCACACACTCGTTATTCCGTCCCGGACAGCATCTCGGTGTCGCTCTGTCCGCGCATCCCGCCTCACACACTCCGGACACACACATTACCAGCACAAACACGGCACAAACACGAGCTCCCATCATTATCATCATCACGACGCCTCAGAAAACGTATTCGGGTTTCGCTCTGACACAAAAGATGCCGCTTAAAATAACTTTCTCGAGAACCTGCGCACTTTCAGAAGAAACGGAGTGAGCGTCGCGAGTCCAGTCAGCAGAAGTTCATCTGTGCTGAAGGTGTGCGCGCGCTGAGTCACTGACGCGCGTCTCGCGCAGCGCCCCCCGCAGGACGCGCACGCAATTAAACACATCAACATGGTCTAAAAACCCATAAAGAGGGCTAGAACAGATCACAAAAAAATGTCAAATGTTGGATTAGAAAGATTAATTCACTTCTGGGTATTTTTTGCACCCATATATCTTAAATATCCGGGGCGTATTTGGGTTGTGTGTAAAATGCCATCCTGATTGATTTGCATCTAGTTGGAGATCCTGCAAAACTAACACTTCTAATTCATTTCATCACTAAAGTCTGCATGAGCTGAACTGAGCCTCAGAAATTTCAGTAACACTTTACAATAAGGTTCATTAGTTAACTATCTGAACTAAGAATTAACAATACAGCATTTATTATTCTTAGTTAATATTCATTTCAACGTTAATCACAGGTTGTATTTGTTAACATTAGTTAATGCACTGTGAACATGGACAAACAATTAACAGCTGCATTTTTATTAACTAACATTAACAAATATGAATAAATACTGTAACAAATGTATTGCTCATTGTTGTTAGTAAAATTAACATTATTGTAAAGTGTTACTGACATTTCAAATGCCTGGTCTGATCTGAGATCAGCGCTCTGAGCTGATATTATTACACAACATCTGTTTGTTTCCTCATCTCGGTTATGGGTGATAGACGTGATAATTATATGATTATGGTGGATTATGAAATACCCCCCACCGAGAGCGAGAATGAGCTGATACCAGCAGATTATTCATGTGACGGAGTCAGTTTGTCTGACGAAGATGAAAAACACACACAAATATCTGATAGAACACATAATAGAAAACAGATGGAACGGTGCATTTGTATTGCCAAGGCATTTGATGCTAATCTGAGTTCAGATAGTGTGATACGAGTAACTGGAACAGCAAAGAGTAAGATTACAATACTTCAAAAAAAAAAAAAAAATATCTGAAAAATCATTTTAGTCTTCATTTCCTATACATTTACTAAAGATGGAAAATTTCATAAGTCTTGCTTTCTGGGAAATCAAAAAAACGTCTGCTGAAAACAATGTGTTCCCTTTGAATTAAGTTATTTTTCTGACCCCCACTGGCAGATTTTTTTCTCATTTTAAGCACAAACTCTCTTCATTTTTCAGACTTAAAGGGACAGTTCACTTTGAATTATTTATTTTTTATTTTTTTTGCATGTTTTAGCTTTTAGTAACAGTATTTATATCGTTTTTACAGCCACAGCCACAAAGCGCGCTTGGACGTAATATAGGATATAAATAATGTTCGTTTTCTCACACAAACCGCTCGTTTCGTGTCTTAGGCCATCAATGTGTACTTACATTTACGAGTCATTAAATCATGTTTAATTTGGACTTCTCTGTGCATGCTCTTTGAGGTGGTGACCATAGACCTCCATTATATGACTGACAGACAAGAACGGTTGGACCTAAAAATATCAACATTGAAAATACTGCGGAAACAAAGACACCTACATCTTGGATGTCCTTGAGGTAAGATAAAACATATCAAAAATTCATTTCAAAGTGAACTATCCCTTTAATATCTTCAGTTATTCTGAATATTTCCTGAACGCGAGCCGCACTGCGGTGAGACGGGTCACTCGCTGGCTCAGGCCTGAATGCCATTACTCGCGCATCAGAGCTCGTGGGTGTGTTCACTCGTCTTCAGGACGGCACCGTAAAACATCTGCTGTGGGAGTTCTCCCGTGACCAACAAAAGACAGATATGTGTCCACTCTCATCTGTTAGATGTACATGAAAGACAAGCTTTATTATTTTGTATGATATTAATCAGAAAACTGTGGTAGAGATCTTGTAGACATGCTTGCACTGGAGACAATAATAACAACAAATCTGAGATATTTGATAAAACCTAACAGTGGAGCGTTGGCGCTTGCAACACCAAGGTCATGGGTTCGATTCCCTGGGAAAGCAAGACCTGATAACAATGTAAAAGTGTGCGTTGAAGTGTGCAAAATAAGAATATGGTGCAAAAGTTTATTTATTTCAGTAATTCAACTTAAAAGCTGAAACTAATATATTATATAGACTCATTACATGCAAAGTGAGATATTTCAAGCCTTTATTTGTTATAATTTTGATGATTATGGCTAAACCCCAAATTCAAAATTAGAATATTGTGAAAAGGTTTTCATAAGACATAATCATCACAAATATAACAAATAAAGGCTTGAAATATCTCACTTTGCATGTAATGAGTCTATATAATATACTAGTTTCACATTTTAAGTTGAATTACTGAAATAAATGAACTTTTGCACCATATTCTAATTTTTTTGAGTTGCACATGTGTCGCTTTGGATAAAAGTGTCTGCCAAATGCATAAATATAATATGGGGACAAACTAGGTAATTGATGCACCAATGACCCGTTAACACCAAAGTTATGAATGGAGTGTAATACTGTATGTACACTGTAAAAAATATTGATGGTTTAACTTAAAAAAGTAAATAACCTGGTTGCCTTAAAATTTTAAGTTGATTGAACTGGAAAAAGTGAGTTAATACAATGAAGGAGATTAATTTAACCATCAGAAACTCAAAATAATAAGTTGTCTCAACTAAATGAATTATTATAAAATTGATTTGACAAAAGAAAATATGTTGTGATAACAAATCTTGAAAATATTTTTTACAGTGTATTAATTGATGATGTATTTAATGTTTTGCCTAAAGTTTTATTAGACTTTATCTCTCTTTTTGTATTGTACTGTCATTTTTATGAGTCATATTTTATTTTAATAAGCTACATATTCATTTAAGTCATTAACATTTACAAATTTGTATCCTTTCTGTCCAGTCGAGCATCATTTACAATTACCTGTGAATGCATTTGTCCCTCAAATGTTCTGTTGTTTTGTCATTTAAAATTTATTTTTAAAAAGTTTTTAATTATAATTACCTTTTTTCATCAACGTTATCATTCTATTTGTTGTGTGAAAGCAAAAACGCTAAAATAAATATAAAAAAAAAGAAGAAGAAGAAGAAGAAAATGCAGATAAATGTGTGTGTGTCACATCACGTGTGGTCAAACGTCTCATCAGTCGCTCATCTTTGAGATCTGGAGACTTTGGGAGAAAACGAGGGAGAGAGAAAGGGATTCCTTTCCATGTATCTAACAAAGAGCTATTGTAGCAGGACATAAAGAGACGAGGAATCTCTCAACAGTGTGTGTGTGTGTGTGTGAGACAGAGACACTAGGGAAACAATCCTTTACTCTGTCACAGAGACATGTGTATTGTTATCCGTAGGCTCGTCCTCCAGAGGTCACGTTTGTCCGACACACACCAGCACAAAGTATGAGTCTAATAGAGTGAGATTATTGATGGGATTCATAATTTTGCAATATCCATTCATTTGGCTAAGATTTTGGCCTGAAATGAATCTCTCTCAACTAATGCAACAGGGAAAACCTCAGCTGCTATTATTATTATTATTATTATTATTAAAAGTTAAAATGATCAACTCATTCTTATACAGTTAAATGGAGTTTCTATAATAATGTTATAATATGTTTAATTATATATAAAAGTTAAAATCTAATTAGCATATGTTATATAGTGCATATATTTAGCAATGTGCTTCAGTTTTCTAGATTACGAACACCACTGAATGGCTTTATCAGATCTTTGTTTTATTAGTGGTTGAAACATTCATTATGATTTCATGAGGATTATTTCCGTAAGCTGTACTTTATCTTTCAACATTCCTTCTGATGTTCATTCATGAAGTAATAAAGAGAAACACAGATCGGTTGACGTGCCGCTACAGCGATCTGTCACGCCACATCAAAACATCTTATTGTTTAAATTTTGTAATAAATTTTAGCTGAGACTATTTCATATTAAAGTTCTTGCTCCGTCTTGTCTGTGGCACACACACACACACAGACTAAATTTCAAGCTTTTATGTGTGTGAATTGGCAGCCCTGCCTACATCATAAAGAATGTTTTATTTCAGGACAGAAACCATTATAAAATTGGCCGTTATGCCTAGAAGTGTTGTTGTGATTTCTTAATGACTTAATGACTCAATTCACTGAAAGCCTTAATGACGTATGAGGCCGTCAAACGCACAGGTCACCGGAAGATTGAAGACACTCGCTTAGCAACACCCTAGCAACTGCATACCAACATGAGAACAATTTAGAACATGCATAGCAACCACACACAACACTCTATTGTCATGGCGATCAGTTCAAGGCAGGCAACAATTCACTCACATGTTCCACAGAATATGTAAACTGTAGTTCAAAAACATTCATATTAAAATAATTATAATAATATATTATTTTGTAAACACACCCTTGTGAAAAAGAAGATTCCAAAAGCACATTGAATGTGCACTTATTTTCAAAAATGTTATGTTCACTTATTTTTTCAAAAGTGTACTTGCAGAAAATATGATATGAATAAAATATAAGGATTCTTAAATATTAATGACAACAAAAAATTTACAAATATTAGAAAAAAGTAGCATGCAGCTCTACAGCTAAACATAACCGTCACTGATGCGTAAGCAGATCATACAAATTTATAACCAATTCAAATACATCAAATATAACAAATTACATGAAAGAAAATAATCCAAAACTTTCTTATCAAGACCAAAGTTCTCCAGTAACATCAAGTTGTTTATTTAAAAAATAAAAATCACACACAAGTAGAGACCCTATAGTCAGCCAGATTACGAGTCAGAACCACTACCAAAAGTGTGCAAATTTCATAATTTTCCCATGCATCATTTTTAGTGCTGCCATAGACTCAGCCGTCCGCCATATTGGAACGGTCAAAGCCAGTCAGGCAACACGAGAGCAAGTCTGCAACTCATGTATGAATGTAATATATCTGCAATAGACCCCAGCAGATAATGTTGCTAAACTAACGCAATACAACAAGGCGAAGGCGTCAGCTAACAACATTACAAATTTACCATAGTAAAAGTAAAAACTAAACTAACATCAAATGT